CTGTGGGGGTTGAGGCACAGGGAGAGACTCCCAGCCTTACACAAGAATTCGTTGGAGAGACCCACAGGGTCCTAAAATGTACACAAGCGCACGCACACAGGAATCAGCACCAGAAGGGCCCAATTTGCTTGGGGGAAGCAGAAGAAGGGACTGAAATCTGACAGAAAGCAGAACAAATGCTATTGTTCCTTCTCGGACCCTGCTCCCATATACAGTGTCCCAACCCAGTGACTGGGTTGCCCCACCCTGGGGAACTCCTAAGGCTCTGCCCCCCATTATGTAACAGGCACGACCAGACCAAAAAAATGGCACAAATGGAAGAAAAGATTAAAGCTCCAGAGCGAATAAAACTAAGCAACAAAGAGCTGGACAACCTATCAGATGCACAGTTCAAAGCACTGATGATCAGGATGCTCACAGAATTGGTTGAATTTGGTCACAAATTAGATGAAAAAAATGAAGGCTATGCTAAGTGAAGTGAAGGAAAATGCACAGGGAACCAATAGTGATGGGGAGAAAAGTGGGACTCAAATCAATGCAGTGGACCAGAAGGAAGAAAGAAACGACCAAATAGAAAAGAATGAAGAAACAAGAGTTCAAAAAAGTGAGGAGAGGCTTAGCAACCTCCAGGACATCTTTAAATGTTCCAACATCTGAATTATAGGGGTACCAGAAGGGGAGGGTGAAGAGGAAGAGCAATAAGTGAAAAACTTATTTGAACAAATAATAAAGGAGAACTTTCCCAATCTAGCAAAGGAAATAGACTTCCAGGAAGTCCAGGAAGCTCAGAGTCCCAAAGAAGTTGGACCAAAGGAGGAACACACCATGGCAAATCATAATTACATTAGCCAAGATTCAGGTGAAGGAGAGAATCCTAGAAGCAGCAGGAGATAAGGAGACAGTTACCTACAAAGGAGTTCCTATCAGGCTGTCAGCTGATTTCTCAGAAGAAACCTTGCAGGCAAGAAAGGGCTGGAAAGAAGTATTCCAAGTCATGAAAGGCAAGGACCTACATCCAAGATTCCTCTATCCAGCAAAGCTTTCATTTAGAATGAAAGGGCAGATAAAGTGCTTCTCAGATAAGGTCAAGTTCAAGGAGTTCATCACCAAGACCATTTTATATGAAACGTTAAAGGGACTTATCTAAGAAAAAAAGATAAAAACCATGTGTAGTAAAATGACAGCAAACCCACAATTATTAACAACCACACCTAAAACAAAAACAAAAACAAAAACAAACTAAGCAAACCATAAGAACAGGAACAGAACCACAGAAATGGAGATCACATGGAGGGTTAGCAACCAGAGAGTGGGAGGAGAAGAGAGGAAGAAAGGTACAGAGAGTAAGTAGCATAGATAGTAGGTAGAAAATAGACAGGGGGAGGACAAGAATAGTATGGGAAAAGTAGAAGCTAAAGAACTTATGACACATGGACATGAACTAAAGAGGGGGATGTGGGTGGAAGAGGATGTGCAGGGTAGAGGAGAATGAAAGGGGTAAATAGGACAATGGTAATAGCATAATCAATAAAACATATTAAAAATAAAGTTAAGTATATTTTATTTTAGTAATTCTTATCATAGTATCGGAATGTTAGGTTTGTTAAAAATCATCCATTCTCTGACCTAGCCAATGACATCACACCTCTATGCAGGACATAAAATCCTAAGGTTTATAATGCTCACATACATACATCCTAAAGGCATTCATAAACATTTTTGCTTTTTTAAAAATCTAACCTTGCTATTGAAAAACTACTTATTACTCCAGAACACCTTCAAAAACATCTCTATTCAGGTCAGAATTCCCAATACCCTCTTGATCTACCTGTTCTGTTGAACATCTATAGTTTCCCATGGTCAGTAGTTATAACTTCATAGTTTAATGATAGCATATTTAGGTCCTGAGATGTCATTAAATTATTGTTTTCACAGGACAGCATTTGAAATCAGAATAGGGTTTTAAAATGCTTAGCAGAGGATTGGTTTATTCCATTCTGATTGCAGTAATTTAATGCCTCAGAAGGAGATTTCCCCTGCCCCTAATCCAGAAGGTGACATTCAAAGGCTAAGGTACTCTTTCCTTTTGAAGAATGAAAGGAACAGGAGGAGGTCCTCAAGTCTCAGGCCAAGTCAGACCTCCTTCCAGGGTCTGATAGAGCAACAGACTAACTTACAAGGTCAGGAGCATTTTACAATTTGCTTTTTGTGATGAGCCTCCTGTATGCTTTGGAGACTCAGCAAAGATCCTTTATGCAACAAAGAGCTTTGGACTGCTAAACCAGAGGGACTGACTAGGAAGGGAATCCAGTTATTCAGCACATACTCAGTTTTTATCATTTGATTCTCAGAAATAACATAAAATACACAACAACATCAAGGAACTGATGTTTTGAGATATGTGATGGTCCTTTATGCAGACTAGCATTTATTTTGCTCACAAAGAGCAGAGGTAAACAGAGAAGAAAATGGAGCAGGAGGAAACTTCTGTTGAAGTCATCATCATTTGTTAACCTTAATAGAGAACTTCTGTAATTTACAAAGCGTTCCCATGAACATTACCACAATTATTTCTCTAAACAGCTCCAAGTGCTCTTCCCAGGCTAGTCCAAGGTTAAATGAAAAATCCCATCATTAGTCCTAATCTAATGCTCTTCTTTCCAGGATTCATCCAGGCTAAACACAGTAGTCATTATCTCAGGATGATGATGAAAGCCACGAACACCGTGCTGTCCATATGAAAAGTTACTCAATTCAATTAACATTTACTGAGCATGTACTATATGCCAAGTGCTATTCATGGTTCAGAAATGAATAAAACTCAAATCATGGCCTCAATGAAAGATCATAGCCACTTGATTACAGTGCAGGAAGCTAAGGGAGTATGGAGAAGGAAAAATAATTTAGCCTGGCTTGGGGTTTAGAGAAGGCTATCTGAATTTTAGGCCAAAGGGGTATGTCATTAGGTTTAATAAAGGACCATTTCTAGCCATTGAAGCGGGATTATACATATGGCATATCAGCTGTGAAATGATGTATCCCAGAACCAAACACATTTTTTCAAAGTTTCCATCTTCAGGCCTTATTCCAATTGTAAGACATTTGTCTCTCTTTTTCACAGATTCTTGGTCAAGCTAGGCTTAGACCCAAAGGACTTGCTGGCTGATTGCATGTGGTTTCTGACTTGTAACCTAAGGGGTGTCAAGGTATGTGGTAAAGCAAAGATCCTTCCTGGTATGATTAATTCTGTTGTAAGAAATCTATTTCCATGCACATGGACTTGGTACGAGGTGTATTTTAAGCAATCACCGCTGGGCTTAGCCAGGGTTTTGTGGAGAACGGGGAGGTATATGCCAACTGTTTTCCTTTGTTTTGACTTGTTCCAGCTTCTCCTACAGGACCTTCTGACAGACATAATCTATTATCACCTTTAGAATTCTGTCATTTTTGCAATGTTAATTTGACTTATACTGTGAATTGGTTTCACCAAGAGGCATCCCAACTTCTGGAGGTTTTAGTACCAAGAAACAGAGAGTTCAGAATACTACTGAACGTGGTATTTTTGTTATTTTCCTTGGTAATACTCTCGTGAGGTACAGACACAGGAGTCCAACTGTAGGTACTTTTACCAGTGGGGAGACACAAAGATGGAGAGGACAAGAAATGACCTAGAAGATGGCAGAACAACAATCTAACTCTTCCATGTCCAGGTGAACTGTTTTGTCTACTGTGATTTCTTTAATCAGTATAAAACGGAGTTTTAAAAAGGTATCATGATAAATTCAGTGTGTGCTCACAAACCAAAGGACTTATAATCAATTTTTCTCAATTATTTTTTTGTTGAGAGAAACGAACGCAAATAATTCTAAAGCAAAAGGGAGAACACTGAAAAATCAAAGAAAAACTTTATAAATCCAGTGTGTTTAATTTTCATCTTTAATTAGTTGGCAGGATAAATGATGATGCTGTATGAAGAAGGAAGCAAACTACTGAGACCTGTGAATAGTGTAAACTAGGTCCCTTGGTACCTATTCAGTGATTATTTGCATAACATACCACATGGAGAAGTAGTTTCTATTTAGAGTATAAAATCGGTCATCTTTGCAGATGGAAGAGGATTCTACACACCCAGGTCTACCTGCTACAAAAAGGACGTATTCCCATAAGTGATTCTAATTTCTGCCTATGTGAGTAGCTTGGAAATTCTAAATGCAATTTATTAGAACTCGCTTCAAATTTTTACAGACTAGTGTTAAGATAGATGAAATACTTTTTCATATCAGTTATTGCTCCTAAGATGTATAGCTGCTCTGTCTTAACTTTAGAGATTGTGAAGGATGCCAGACTGAAACAAGGCAATTTTGCTCTTTCAATTAGTTGTGTGCTGAATTATTTCTCCCCTGGGAAGAGTTGAAATGTAATTAAAGAGCTTGATCTTTTTATTTTGGTCAATTTATTTAATTCTTAAGGAGAGGACCCAGAAGTTTCTTATTACCTAAGTACTGATTTGTTAACAAGAATTAATTCTTCACTTGGCTGAGACTGATTAACATTAAATATTTTACTTTTAACAACAGGTAACTTATCAAAATGGGAAAAGACACCCTCACAATAATCATGTAATACCTAATGTGAAACAGCTATTATATCTTTGAGAAAACATTTAGCTTACATCTGTCTTCTCTTTTCTTAAGGGTAATGTCTTAACAAGTTTCAGAAGTTCCAGTCAGACAAACCAGGACTAGCAGAAATGACTCTTATGGGACCTTGAATCCTGAGCTGCATTTGAGTTTTTAGGGTGGGTTTGATTCAGTGCTCAGGGAAATTGTACTAGGTTCCAAACTGCCCTTTAGTTCCTCTCTAGATCTTATTTTCCAGTTGTTTGGCAGCGAAAGATTTATTTATTTATTTATTTATTTATTTATTTATTTATTTATTTAGGTGGGACAGGTGGCCTGATCTTAGAGAGAGAGAGAGAGAACCAGGAGTAGGACCCATAAATGAGCTCTGTCCTCAACCAAGGTGCCGAAGACCACCCACTGGCATTCTGCTACCAGGTGAATGGGTCCTGCCCCAGGACTGTCCATCCTCTGGGCCTCCAGCTGATCATCTACCTGGCCTGTGCAGCAGGCATCATTGTTACAGTCCTAGGAAATCTGTTTGTGGTGTTCACTGTGTCCTACTTCAAAGCACTTCACACTCCCACCAACCTCTTGCTGCTTTCTCTGGCCCTGGCTGACATGCTGCTGGGTCTGCTGGTCCTGCCACTCAGCACCGTTCGCTCAGTAGAGAGCTGCTGGTTCTTTGGAGACTCCCTCTGCCGCCTGCACACCTACTTGGACACCCTCTTCTGCCTCGTCTCCATCTTTCACCTCTGTTTCATTTCCATTGACCGCCACTGTGCCATCTGTGAGCCTCTGCTCTACCCCTCCAAGTTCACAGTGCGGGTGGCTCTCAGGTACATTGTGGCCGGGTGGGGGATGCCAGCAGCTTACACTGCCTTCTTTGTCTACACAGATGTAGTTGAGAGAGGGCTCAGCCAGTGGCTGGAAGAGATGCCTTGTGTGGGCAGTTGCCAGCTGCTGTTTAATAAGTTCTGGGGCTGGTTAAACTTCCCCGTGTTTTTTCTCCCCTGCCTCATCATGATCAGCTTGTATGTAAAGATCTTCCTGGTTGCTGCCAGGCAGGCCCAGCAGATCAACGCCTTGAACAAAAGCCTGGGGGGTGCTGCCAAGCGTGAAAGAAAAGCTGCCAAGACCCTGGGCATTGCTGTGGGCATATACCTCTTGTGCTGGCTTCCCTTCACCATCGACACACTGGTGGACAGCCTCCTTAATTTCATCACACCACCTCTGGTCTTTGACATCTTGATCTGGTTTGCTTACTTCAACTCAGCCTGCAACCCTATCATCTATGTCTTTTCCTACCGGTGGTTCAGGAAGGCTCTGAAACTCATTTTGAGTCCAGAGATCTTCTCACCTCAGACACCCACTATTGATTTGTACCAAGAATGATGACTCCTTTAACTGGCTTCAGGCAAACAGGGGGGCTTTGCAGGAAGGCAGAGTGGTGCTGTGGCACTAGGTGGTGTGATGTCATGAGTTCATGGGCAGGCTCCCAGGTAGCCTGGTTTAAGTGGAGGAGAAAAATCAGCTTCTCAAACAGGAAAGAGATATAGCACACCATTCATTCAATGTTTCCATAGTAGAATGTAGGGGGGAAAGAGGGAAGTCATCTAGGCATTTATTGGATAAGTCAAGACTCTATGAAAATATTTGGGTCTTCCTTCATTGCTCCCTTGAGACAGCTAAGATACAAGTGGAGAAGGAAGAACATAGAAGTCAGGATATCTGAGTTCTCGTGCTGGTTTTACCACCCGGCAGGGCCCTGTGAAACTACTCCAGCAGTCTGTGACTTCCTTCCCCGTCACTGAGTTTCCTCCTTTGAAAAATGAGGGCTTTGTACTATATGTTTTCTAAGGTGTCCTTAAGCTCAAATAGCATGTATCTAACTATGGGAAGCACCGTTTGAATCCTAATTTCACCTTACTTTTCACAGTTGTAGTCAAGGGTTTGGAACAACTTTCACAAAGTTCCCTGTCTCCTTGGAAGCCAGTTACAATGTACGCCAGGTTTGTCTACCCAATGATCACTGAGTTAATGTATTATACTCTCAGTTTATTATATTTTTGAATGAATATTTTCTTCCTTTCCTCTTATGATAGAAACTTGAACATATGGTCGATATTTTCTGCACAAAAATAATAAAAATAAAATGATAATGAACCACACCTCACCATTTTAGTTTTCCTCCTATTTTTAAAATCACATAGGTTAGAACTAGTATCTTTTAATTTTATGAGAGCACATGATTTCCTTTGAAAAACAAGTACTTATGCCACATGCTTGCTCAGAATTGAACTAAATGTGTTTCAGGAACTACTAGTAGTAAAGGTACTGACACATTTTATGTTCATCTTGCTTCTGTTTTTTTCCTCAATCCTTTTCTCAGGTCTCTAGTCATTCTATTTCCATGTAGGTGTTTTTTCACATTAATACTTGTTTGGAACACTTTCTGTAAGTTAATTTGTGGTATATGATATACACATGTATATATACACATAGTTATAAATAAAGACGCAGACACTGATATATCAATCTCAATAAATAAATAACGAAGTAAAGTTGTATGTTGAAGTTTGGCTGAAATGGATTTATTCCATCTGTTTATTTTTATTTGCTAAAAAGATAACATCCTGACAATTCTTATTCATAATTTTTAAAATAGATTATAAAATATTTTAATGTATTTCTAGTGCTTAATTTTCTTTGAAAGTGATTATTCTTTCTTTTCCATTTAGCTCATAATTATCAGAGATAACTAAATTACAAAGGAATTACAAATTAAAATTGTGAGACTTTAAGGAACTAGGAACGCTTTGTCTTAGATATAGCAATAAATATAATTTGCAAAGTATAAGTAAGTCATCACTTTAAAAACGCATTTCCCTCTTACCTTCCTGGAAATAAATTCACATCCATCCCCAGTCCACTGAGCATGGCATCATCCTCAAAACAAGAACACTCAGCTGCTTCGAAGGGTGGAATTTGCATATTGGTCACCTTCAGAGAAGCAGAGCAAGATTCCACTTCCCTCTCATCTTACTGTTTTCTGTTAGAGGGAGAAGGCTGCCTTCACGAACAGACGTTCCGTGATAGAGAGAAGGAAAGGGTGGAAAGGGGAGAAACCAACATTTACTGAAAACCTAAGCATCTCACTTACTGCCCACAAGGCGTGAGACACAGGTATGATCAACTTTGTGTTACAGACGTGGCACACAGGTGTTGGGTGATTCATGCTTTTTACTAGAATGCCCGGACTTATCCACTATGTCTCTGAGATATTAGAGAAAACTGGACAGCTAATAAACCTATGGGTAGGGCTAAATTTTAAACGCAGGAAGCAGACTTCAGCTTCCAGTGAATCACAAAAACACTAGAACACGAGTGCCATGGCCCAATGTTCGTATCACCAATGAACCAGGGTGGAGGGAGAGCAAGAACCACACTGGCGGTGGACACCATGAAGGGGTACAAAGGAAAACGTTGCACCCCAAAAATCTGGTTAGGACCTGTGCTCAGTGATACTGTCCTCATATAAGTAAATGTCCATGGTGATACTTTACCATTTGGGGACAATAACCTTTTCTCACCCTATCTTCCTCCGTGAGAACTAACTACATATAAATGCAAGTGTTTTAATTTTTTCTGCCATGAATGTCTTTGGCTCTTTGGTAATGACCATGAACCTGTTTCAGAATAAGACTTTCCAGTTTATTAGAAAGTTTAAAAAACACATAGAATTACAGAGGAATACGATTATATTGAAATAGAATAATCAATTTTCCTTTTAAATTGCCAAGTGTGTAATATAATCATATTGTGCTTCTTTACAAAAGCATCAAATCTCCAGGTTCAATGACTGTTGTAATTACATAAGAGTGATGAGCACAAGTGACATCTCACGATATCTGCAAGAACTGTACTGGGATTCAAAAACCTGATTTGTACTGATGACAAAAATCAGAGATAATGCCAACATTATTGTGGGGTTTTGCCTACATTCAAAACAGAAGGAAATGCTAAATTTCAAGTACAGATTAGTGAACATAGAGACATAATTATATTTCATGTAAGTTCATGGACATCCTGATTAAAGAATCTCTTTAAATGTGAAATCAAGGTCCCTCTTCTGAGCGTGATGACTTTGTGGTCAAACATGAAGAGGAGGCAATGGCAGTCAGACTGTACCATTGATTCAATAGCCTGCAGCCTAAGAGATGCTTGCCTTATCTAGAACATCCCACCAGAATATAGCTGAAGAAACAGAGTCAGTTCTTGGTGTTTTTGTACTTGTTTAGGTTTTTTTAATTCCCTGTTTCACAAAACAACATGATTTTAAATTCCAAGATGGATCCACTTCTTTTGTGCGAACCTGACCGTTATCTTCTTCTCTAAACATCTCCCAAACAATTTAATCAAACAAGGGCATGTGATCTATGTGCCCAAGGGTTGTGAGCAGGGTAATTTCCATAGCAAAAGCCCTTTTGTACTGCTTCTATATAGCTATGTTCCATAAAGTTAGCTCTGCAGGTGCATCAAGGGTCAAGAAATCCCACTAACAGTTACCCACAAAGTGTGTGAGAGAATCAGGCCCCCTCTTCTGTGCAGTTTTACAGCTTGCTTCTTTTCCTAGACCTGTAATAGCTGCAAACTTGGAATTGCAGAGAAAGAGTTTGATAATCAAAGAGAAGGTATGCGCCATTATTGGTCCTGACCCTTGGCCCCTATCACGTCCTGCCACTGGGATTCTGTCCTCTGCACTCCTCACCTTGATTTTATGCTCCTTTTCCACTGCAGCCGTCACCGCTCCCAACTCCCTTGGAGGGAACACATGTCCCAGAGCCACCGCTGTTGTGCTTGGCCCTGCAACGTGCTTTGATCAACGTATGTTCAAGCTGGAGCCTTAAGTGTCATTCATTGTATGGTTGAGCCCAGCTCTTAAATTTCCACGCTCTGCCCTGAGAACAGGTTGTCTCAGTGCAGCTGCTGCTTCAGCCTGGGCTGCACAATGAGAAGATGCAGAGCAGGCCTGTGGCTCACCTGCAGCTGGGAGCAGAGCAGCTGCCATGGCAGCCCCCAGGTAACGTGAGCAAACGGTCGATGATTTTTGTAAACCATGGCAAGTTCGTTTGCTGTGCTGGAAAATTGACTAATATACACAAAATTCCAAGGACTGAGTCATGGTGTCCCTATTTTGTCCCACACTGAACTTAGCATTGAAGTAACTGCCAGTCTTGAAAGTGATCTTTCTGTATTTCCACATTTTGACCACACCAGGTGGTGACTAGGAAAGACAACACCAGCCACCTTGGAATAGTTTGAAACCACAGAGCAGGTTTTCTTAAAAACAAATATTGTGTATATGCCTTTCATCTTTCCAACTTGGAACAAGTTAGGGATTTCATTTCTCCATGGTTGTAAGTCCTGAACAGCAAGCCAAGATTGTTCTGAGGGCCTTACATATGTTATCAAAAGTCTGAAGTGTGTGGCACTGACTGACCTCTCTCAGGGCTGAGGCTCAGAGGAGTGTAGTATTACCAGTTCTCAAGTAACATTTCTTGAGAACCTACTATGTGCCAAGTGTGAGGCTAAACTCTGTTGGATCCAAAATTGCTGAAATGTCATCATTACCCTTAAAGAACTTTCAATGCAGAGGCATGGAGACAACCAAAAATAAGAACAAACAATGCAGAATAAAAAATAAGTTCCTAATAAAGTTACAGCAAAGAGCTATAGTCCTAAGATGGAGCAGTCACTTATTTCTGGAAGGATCCATGTTCAAAAGTGAGGGCTAAGGAGTCCAGCAAGCCTGACCAAACTCAGATGTAACCCCTGCCTTCTCCTGGCCTCTTGGGCAAGTTCTTTACCTCCCACAAGCCTCGGTTTCCTCACCTGAGACTGTAATACCTGCCCCACAGTGTTGGGAAGGTGAGGGGAGATAATTCTGTAAAGAAATTGTCATGGCAGCTTGCGCAGGCCGTGACCCAGACATCACTGCAATGGCAAAGACTTAAAAGAGGCAGCGGCTTTGGAACTAGGCTTTAAAGATGGGTAGTTTATTAAGGGTGAAAAAAAGATAGGGCCATGCATTTTAATCAGAGGGATCCGAATAAAAAATAACATGTACTACCTTAGAAAATCTATCTTTAGTGAATTTGAACACTTACTCAAAAAATGTCTATGAAGGGACAGGGTTCAGGTAGCTTAAGAAGATGCTTCTAGGTCACGCAGTCAACACAGAACAGAACTGAGATTTGAACCCCCTCTGCCCAACCCAGTGCTGAGGAGCTTCCTAGGAAACCAGGCCGCCTCCCTCCTGGGAGCACAGGTTGAAGGACTGTCTGGGCCGGGCCATGCTGGTCAGTGCAACTGTTCACAGAGCTGGGTCACTC